AAATTACAAATATGACAAATGTTAACTTAAGTGTAATTATTGGCTCACCTACAATTTACTCTAAATGCATCTAAACAAATTAAAAGTAGATCTTTAAACTTTTTTTAATATTTGTGATGGTATGGTTTTGTGGATGTACAGTCCTTTGTTTTAGAGAAACATATTGAAGTATTTACAAATATGTGGTCCAACTTGATTTCAATGTAATGCAGTACTATTAATCAAACTGGCCATGACTTTAAGATTTATTATTATTATTGTTATTATTATTATTAATTATTAAGATTTTATTTATTTATTTGACAGAGAGACACAGCGAGAGGGAACACAGGCACGGGGAGTGGGAGAGGGAGAAGCAGTCTTCCTGCGGAGCAGGGAGCCCGATGCAGGGCTCGGTTCCAGGACCCCGGGATCATGACCTGAGCTGAATGCAGACGCTTAACGACTGAGCCACCTAGGTACCCCGACTTTAAGATTATTGAACCTGCCTGATGGTATATGGAGCTCATTTTACTATTGTTGTTATGATAATTCTTTATAAATGCTCATAATTTTTTATTAAAAAAATTTTTTTTAAAGATTTTATTTATCCAACAGTGAGAGACACAGCAAGAGAGGGAACACAAGCAGGGGGAGTGGGAGAGGGGGAAGTAGGCCCCCCGCGGAGCGGGGAGCCCGACGCGGGGCCCAATCCCAGGACCCCGAAACCAGGACCCTAGCCGAAGGCGGATGCTCAACGACTGAGCCACCCAGGCACCCCATATTTTTTAAATTTTTAAAAAGGATTGTAAGTAATATCTACACCCAACATGGGACTCAAACTCTCAAACCCCCAGATTAAGAGTTGCATGTTCTACCAACTGGGTCAGCCAGGTGCCCCCATAATTTTTTTTTCAATTGAGTAAAAATATCCATGGGAGGTGGACGGGGATGGGCTAAGTGGGTGATGGGTATTAAGGAGGATACTTGTTTCGATGAGCACTGGGTGTTATACGTAAGTGATGAATCACTAAACTGTACACCTGAAACCAATATTACCTTACGTGTTAACTAACTAGAATTTAAATTAAGGTTCAAAAAATAAAGTTAAAAAAGTTATGTTGTGTTGCAATTTATTTAAAGGTCAGAAACAGGCGAAAGTTTAGATCTAGCAACTCTGTAAGAAAGGACTTAGTACCTGGAAAGGAACATCAAAGGATTTTCTGGAAAGATGGCCATGTTATATTCTGATACAGATGCATGAGCCTATTACCTTTATAAGAATTCTTCAAGCTGTACTTTTACCATTTTTGTACTTTTATGTTTTGAGGAATTTAACATCATGTTTCCAGAAGTTTACTTAAAAAGTAATGGATAAGTGTCCATCCATAGATAAATGGACAAACGAAATTCGTATACAGAGGACTATTGTTCAACCTTAAAAGGAAGGGAAGTTCTGAAAAATGCTAATGTATGATTCCACTTATATGAGTTCAAAGTGGTCAGATTTGTAGAAAGTGGAATAGTGGTTGCCAAGGACTGGAGCGAGGGCAGTTTGAAGGGATAATAAAATTCCAGATACAGATGGTGGTGATGATTGCCCAACAATGTGAATATACTTAATGCCACTGAGCTGTACACTTAAACATGGTTAAGATGGGCAAATTTATGTTATATGTATTTTATCACAATTTTATTAAAAAGGAAACAGACAATAATGTGTAATGGGTTGTTCTGAATGTTTGAAAGCTTTCATAATAAAATTTTATAGTTAAAAGTAAAAGGAAGTTAAAAATCTAAACACACACACACACACACACACACACACAAACAAATAAAAAAAAACCCTGTATGTTAAACATAACCTCCTATGACATCAACGTATGAAACCAGAAGCACCTGCTTGGAGGCCAAATACCCTGATCCTGATACAATCTACAAACTAATTGTCTCCAGCAGACCCATCCTCCCAGTTTTCCACTGTCCTGCTAATTCCCTTCATTGTCCAAGAAGGTTGTGAATTCGTTCCCTTAAACTGAGGACAGATGTTTCATGGAATCTACAGAGATATAATTGCAACCTGAAATGGGTGTAGTGGGGAGGTCATTGTACCCTTAACCGATCATACTCCTCTATTCCCACCCCAGACCCAACTCGGGTGTGTTTATTTGCCTATACAAGCCTAATTGCCCTGGGAAGCAAACTAGTGAGGACGTTGACCTCATTACTGTCAAGTCTATGTTAGGAACAAGAGAACCTGGTTTCAAACCAAGTTTCGGGCACCCCAGCTCCTAACACGTGCTCACGTACAACCTTTCTCACCTTGCAAGGAATGCGTAAAAAGCTAAAAAGAATGAGTAAAGGAGGAAGTAGCAGAAGTTAGGTCAGAAGGGTAAATGGAATATGATTATGAGGTTTGGGGGATTCCGGCAAGGATTCTGGTAATTGCACCGTTAAAAAGGGAGACCCTGGCAAAATTTTGAGCAGAGAAAGGACTCACCTTGACTCTGGTTTCAAAATCCATGAGCAGAATCTTTTAAATCTCAACCTGATCAAGCCTCTTGCAGCCCTGAGCACTGTTATCGCGATGTTTAATTTTATGTGTCAACTTTAAGTGGGCCGCAGGATGCCTAGAGATTTGGTGAAACATGATTTTCAGAGGTGTTTGAGAAGGTGTTTCTGGAGGAGCTTACCATTTGAATTTGTAGACTAAAAAAGGCAGATTGTCCTTTTTAATATGGGTAGGCCTCAGGTCAATGACCTGAACAAAAATGCTGGGCTTAAAGAATCGTCTCAGCCTATGTTCAAGCCGGGACTCGGGTCTTGCCCTGCTTTGGACTCAGACGCCAACTGCGACAGCTTTATACTAAACTGTTGGCCATTTTGAGTCTTTAGTTTGCAGATCTGGACTACAGAGCTTGGATTTCTCAGTCTTCACAAGCATATGTGGATGGAGCATGTTGATATATCCCTTCTAAGATGGGTAATAAATAGTTGCATGTGGTCATCTTTCAACTAAAAAGGATTCATAATGCCTGAGTTTGAATTTTAAAGGCAACATATTGCTCTTTTGGGTAATCTATCCCAGATCTATTACTCTGATCTGTTTGCTGGGTGGCCCAAGAAGTTGCTAGTTTTAGCAGAGCCGAGAAGAGCAGAAAAGTCTGCAACAGTTCCAGACAGTACTGCAAAGTGCTCTGCCATCTGGGACATACAATCTAGCAGATTCAATGGTGCTTAAAGTGTTAGTGGCGCTTGAACTGTAGCACAGGCCCTTAGAATTTTTTTTAGCAAATCCCTGCCATCCTTACTCTGCCTTTGAGAACCAGCCTTTGGTCTGCTACTGGGTCTAAGCAGAGACTAAACCATATAGGAACTGGACCCTGGACTAACGATGCAATCCCACATGCCCATTATGAACTGGGAGTTGTCTGGCCCATTAGGCCATGAAGTTGGCCATGCACAGCAACACTGGCATCATCAAATGGAAGTGGTATGCATGAGGTCAGGCCCAAGAAAGTTGTAAAAGCACAAGGAAATTAGATGAATTGGTGGCCCCAAATGCCTGTGATCCCCACTCCTGCTACACTGCCTTCTATCTTCCAGCCTGCACCGATGGCCTCAGGGGGTTCCTATATTCAGTTGGCAGAGAAAGACTCAGGCCTGGTTTCAGATGGTTCTGCGCTATATGCAGGCACCACCTAAAAGTAGACAGTTGCAACACCATAGACCCTCTCTGGCACATCGCTGGACAGAGGGTGAAAGAAAATCCTTCTGGGCAGAACGCTGAACAGTGCTCGGTGAGGTTTATGAGTGGCATCCTTAACCACCCAAGTGGTTCCAGTGGGGAAGACACAGATGCAGACATGCCAAAAACACTGGTGCCTTCTGCTATGTGGAGAAACTGTGTGCCCTGCATTACTTGTGGGGATAGCAGTGAGACTCCTGCTGTCAGATTTAACATATAAAACCCCCTCAGTCTTGGAAGCGAGCTCTCTCCACAATGGTAGGAGGCCTGAAGACTTTTGAGAAAAACAACAAGGAGACCTATGGTAAAGGGAGGTGGGGCGGAGCAAGGAAGAGCTTTTGTTCTGTGGATGTGCTCTGCAAAATAATTTCAGTAGTAAGTGTATAATATGTCTTAAGGCACTGGCATCACAGTCCAGGAGCACTGGAGTTCCTCTTACAGAACCATTTTGTGGACGGTCTCAATGCATCAAGTGAGGTGGGATGGGACCAAGTTCTAACAGGAAAAAAAGAAGTTTAGAGTAGCTAAAGTGCATTCTCAAATAAGAACAGTATATGTATGTACAACACACGTACCGTATGCCAAGTAGTAACCACCTTACAGACATTAAATGCCTTTATCCCTCGTAATAATCCTCTGTTCCTTCATTTTCTTCCACATGTGGAACTGAGACACAAAACAGTTAAGAAATGTGAGAGGATAACACATATTCGCAAGGCTTAGTATTCAGACCGACAGTCTGGGTCCAGGATGTCTACTATGTCTCAAAATCAGTATGACACGTGGTTGGAGGTAGCAAAGGTAGGATCAGAAAGTGAAATTTAACACATATGGCAAAGGCGGACCTGCTCTGTAGCCTACTATTGCCTCTATTTCTTTTTTGAGGAGGGAGGACAGGAGGAAAAGGAAGGAAACCTCACATTTATGAGATCAGCTGCATTTAATCCTCTCTGTTCCATGACCTTGGATTTGGGGCCGATTCCATGTTTCTGGGGTGCGGCTGAACCCTTTGACTTACTACCTGAACAAAGGTATAGGCAGCCCATCATTTCCCAGAGGAAATAGGGCATGGGCCACTGCCAAACCCAGGACATGCCACATTTGCATTAATAAGTCTTTATTAGCCATTCCAATTCTAAACAGTAGAAAGCAACCATACACACACACACACAAAAAAAGTTCTCAAAAGGATGTAAAGCTATGTGCCTGGCTAGGCACATGTTTTGCCACAACTAGAAGGGATCTGAAACTAAAGTGTTTGGGAACTGGGGAGTCAGCGGATGGTGTATCGTACATAGGGAACCTCAACATCCTCGCCAGTCTCATCATTGCAGCACAGCTCAAGCACCAGTGCCCGCACTTGGTGGCCCAGCTTTCGGCTGGGCTCACAATTTCTGTCATCCTGGGAAGAGAGAGAAGAGGGTCAGGGAGGTAGAAAGCAAGAGAGCATAGATATATGGAGGTGAAGAAGATAGGGATAACCATGAACATTAAGTAGTAAGGCTTCCCACCCCACACAGGGCCTTCCTCAGCCTGCCCAGTGGCCAACTCACAGCAGATCCAACTGTTCCCTGAGTTTGGTAGCTGGCATGAAGAAGGAGTACAGCAAGGATACACCTTGGGGCAGCATGGTAATCTCTAATTTGTGCTCTGTCTGGAGGAGGATGGGAAGGAGGACAGACAACAGTGTCACAGAAAAGGAGAGTACAGATCACCTGCACAACCACCACCCCTAGGTGGAATGACTGTAGAAAAGGCTCACCTTAAAGTAGTTACGGAACTGTTTGAGAGTCATCTCTTCACCATTAGGCTGTAGCTCCTGTACGTCAAAGCGATCCCACAATGTCCACTCTTGGTTATAGCCCTGTAGGACAAAACAAAGGGGAGTGCAATACAGACTAACCCAGATGATCCTGGCCCAACCACTTGACTTGACTTTTTAAGACATATCAATCACAACCTTCTTTTGTCCTAACCCTCCTGTGGCCCCATATCATTGTGTGCAAACAGGTGATATTCTTATATTGACCAATATGTCTACACAATAATTATGGTGATCCTGTTATCTCCTTCACTCACCTTCCACTTCCTTTACCTTCCCATTTAATATTGCCTAACTATACTGGCCTTCTCATTAATTCTCAAATATGCCCAGTCACATTCATACTTCGCACAATTCAAAAAACTGTATGATGAATGGACAAACGGTATACAAAAGGTACGGGACCCCAAACATACAAAGCGCCACCTGCTATGAGACAGTTGTACATAGATACAGACACACATCCTACCCACCACATACACACAGCCTCACTCATTGATGGGCAAAACCAAAGGTTTCCCTATAAGCATGTCCCCACCTGGTGACAGGGTGGGACAAGGGGTTCAGAGAAGCTGAAGAAGTTCATAAAGCTGTTCTTATCAGATTCAAGTGGCCGGAGTCCCTGCACCACTTTGTACAGCTCCAGACACATGAGGCCAACTATTGCTGCCGTGGTTGTGGCAATGGCAGGGATGATCTTCCCTGCAATCAGCTTGCTCTGCGAGACAGAAGATGACTGGAGAGGTAGTCATTAGAGAGGTTCAGGGTCTACAGAAGAGGACAAATGTGGGAGACTCACCCTTGAGAAAGGGTGAAAGCTTAGCTCTATGCTCTCATTACCTTCTGCCGATCTGCAGGGGGAATGTTATAGTTTTCTGCTCGGAGGTTGGATGCAGCCACAATGAAATCCATATGAAAGTTGGTGTTATCATCCTGTTGTGAGTGGGAGGGGAGGAAGGATACGAAAGAGGGAGTTAGAGGAAAACAAGGTTTCTTGGCTACTAAGGATTCAACTATATTTCACCTCAATTACTTTGCAGACCAGCCAAAGAATCTACCAGGCCTGTAATTCCCACAAAAGCCTATGATGGCTTAGCCCACGCTCCTAACCTGTTGAGGGTCCCACCCCTCCCCAGCACCTTCTCAAAGCTGATAGGGTACATCTTGAACCCAGCGAGCTTCTCTGGGCTGGGAAGCACGGCTTTGAGCTCCTGTAGGCGGCTATCATCTGCAGAAAGGGAGGGAACGTGTTAGTCCTTTAAATTCTAGGGCACGGTCCGAGGAGAAAGCGGGAGACGAGAATGGGGCAGAGATTTCAGACAGATAAAGGATTTAAATAGGAGAGACAGTGGGAAAGAGTTGGGGGAGCAGGGGAAGGTAGAGCAGAAAACACCCACACAAGAAAGAAAGAGGTAGACATGGGTAGGGCCATGAAGAGAGATATAAATGGACATGTTGAGGAACAAAGATGATAACACTAAGAAAGGATGTAGATAGTAGCACTATTCAGAACAGATTAAGAGGCGGAAGCAGTCCAAGTGTCCATTCACAGATGACTAGTTGAAGTGAGTGGTGTGTGTACACAGTGGGATATTACTCAGCCATCAAAAAGAATGGAATCTTGCCATCTGCAAGGACATGGATGGAGCCAGAGGATATTATGGTTAGAGATGAAAAGACAAGTACTTCATGATTCCATTTACATAAGATATAGATCTATAAGAGTCCAACTTCATAGACACAGAAAATAGAATGGTGGTTGCCAGGACCTGGGCAGAAGACCGGAGAGCTATTTTAGTGTGGACAGAATTTCAGATTTTTTTTTAAAGATTTTTATTTATATATTGAGGGAGAGAGAGAATGGTAGAGAGAGAGCATGAGAGGGAGGAAGGTGAGGGGGGTCTTCTCCAGCAGACTCCCTGCTGAGCAGGGAGCCCCATGCGGGATGCAATCCTGGGACTCCAGGAGCATGACCTGAGCCGAAGGCAGTCGCTCAACCGACTGAGCCACCCAGGCGCCCACAGAATTTCAGATTTGAAAAGTGACAAAGTCCTGGAGATGTTTCACAACAGAACTGGTATATTTAATGCTACTGAACAGAACACTTAAAAAGGGTTAACACTTGGGATGCCTGGGGGACTCCATCGGTTAAGCGTCTGCCTTCAGCTCAGGGTCCTGGGATCAAGCCCCACATCAGGCTCCTTGCTCAGCGGGGAGCCTGCTTCTCCCTCTCCCTTGTCTGCCACTCCCCCTGCTTGTGCGTGTGCTCTGTCTGTCAAATAAATACATAAAATCTTTCTCAAAAAAAAAAGTGGTTAACACTGTAAATCTTAGGTGTTTCCACTGTAATTTAAACAAAAATGTAGATTATGATGCAGAGATAGGAGATTTTAAAGAATGACACAGAGGGAAATGGAGAGACGGGGAGGGAGACAGAGAGGGAAACAGGACAGAAACAGAGGGGAAGAAGATACAAGAAGGAGCAGTAGGGAAAAATAGGAAGAGGAGAGAAATGTGAATAGGATAAAATCAAAATATGAAGATGAAGGGGAAGAAGAGGAATGGCAGAGATAGCGTATGTATGGAGGATGAGCTAGAGGGAAATTCATGCAGGGTTGACAACCAGAGAGATGCACACAGAGAAATATACAGAGAGGAACAAGAGAGACGAGATATTTGGAAAAGAGCAGGATGGGGACAGATATACAGGAAACAAAAACAACAAAAAGAAGGAAAGATATACATCAAAAACATACAATATAGAGAGGGACTTACAGAGCATGAGACAAGATAAGGGAGAGATAGAGGGAGATGGAAGTTGGGAGTTGGAAGGTAATTACAAATGGTGAGATGAGGAGGAAGGTCTTGAGAGGAGATGAAGAAAGACATGGAAGTCAACACTAGGATGAAAATACATACAGATGGAAGTTGGGGATATGGATGAGGATACTGGGAAGGAGATGACCCAGAGAAGACATCAAGGCAGACTATTTGCCAACACTCTGAAAAACAGAACAAGAAGAAAATGGAGGAAAGGAGAACAAAAAAGGCAAACACACACTAGAAAGAAGATGTACAATTAATCCTCCTGAGAGCCAGAGTGGGAAAAAGAAAAATGGGAAGAGAAAGGAGGAATAGATGAAAGAATTTACCTCAACCACCGATCATTATTTTACACCGGAGGGAACAAAGACCAAAGGACAGCATGGGTAAAAGTCAGCCTTGGGAACTCAGAGCAGAGAAAGTAGGACAACTAGTGCGGAAACTCAGACAGGAGATAAGTGGAATGGCACTCTGGGCCAACTGGATTAAGCACCCTCACCAACAGAGGCACTGGTGTTCTGAAGCTCCCGGTCAGAGACATGGATCTTGACACCAGACTTGGGGGTGAATTCAGGGACATGGACAGACTGTAGAAGTATGGCCATAGCAGCTCGGTCCTGAGACCCCATCAGCCCATAGGTCTGGGCAAAGAGGTTGGCAGCAGCCATCACATAATCCAGATGCAGGGGCTAGAGGGCAAGATATGGACTGGTAAGCACAGCAGTCCTCACCATGGAACCTCAGCCTTCTTCCCAGCCACGCACTTTCCACCCAATCCCAGGATACCCTAGGGGGAGACTTACATTGTTGACATCAAGGATGAGTGGGTGTGGACAGCGTTTGGGCCCAGACCAGAATAGGGCGCCAGAGCTTGTAAGCTAAGAGGACAGAAACGGTTTGGGGCAGCAGGGCCTGAGAGGAGACAATCCTGACCCCCTCATCTAAGACCTAGAAGTCCCAACTCACCATCCCTGGGCACTCACTTTGAGATATATATAGAACTATTTATCAATATCTTAATGAATTATTAGCACTATACTAACTTAAATAACTTAATACAAATTCATCCTCAAAAAACTCCCAAGAACTAGGTCATTATTATTTACAGAGGAGGATACTAAGATGCAGAGAGAAAATACATGACTTGCCCCAAGGTCAAATGAAGCTGGGATGTGAACCACTTATACTTTTTTTTCAAAATAATTGTTTATTGTTATGTTAATCACCATACATTACATCATTAGTTTTGGATGTAGTGTTCCATGATTCATTGTTTGTGCATAACACCCAGTGCTCCACGCAGAATGTGCCCTCTTTAATACCCATCACCAGGCTAACCCATCCCCCCACACCCTCCCCTCTAGAACCCTCAGTTTGTTTTTCAGAGTCCATTGTCTCTAATGTTTCGTCTCCCCCTCCGACTTACTCCCCTTCATTCTTCCCCTCCTGCTATCTTCTTCTTCTTCTTCTTTTTTTTTCTTAACATATATTGCATTATTTGTTTCAGAAGTACAGATCCGTGATTCATCAGTCTTGTATGTGCTATGGTGAGCACTGTGAATTCCACTTATACTTTTTTTAAAGGTTTATTTATTTATTTTGGGGGGGAGGGCAGAGGGAGAGGGAAAAACAGTCTTTTTTTTATTTCCCCAGATTTTATTTGAGTGTGAGAGAGCACACAAGCAGTGGGAATGGCACTGTGTGGGTAAGGGGAGAAGCAGGCTTCCCACAGATCAGGGAGCCTGATGCGGGACTCAACCCCGGGACCCTGAGATCATGACCTGAGCCACAGGTAAACACTTAACTGACTGAGCCACCCACGTTGCCCCCGAAGCACTGGCTCAATCGTTTCATGAGATCTCGTAAAATGGTCTTGGTGTGCCTGCCATAGCTGAATGAGCTGCGTCAAGAGCCCTCAGCACACTCCCTGTTTCCAGAAAATGCATTCTGCCAAATGAACTCAGCAAGTATGTAATACCTGGTCAGGTGGAAAGTTGCGCAAAAGCTGGCAAATGTTGTTGGAGTACTGAGTGTGACAGTGGTGGTAAGCCCAAGTCACACAGTCAGCCCAGGTCTGTGGGTGCTGTAGTACCAGGCTATGCTGCACAGCCTCCAGCATCTCCAGGGGTTGGGTGCCTGCCAGGCGCAGCGTCCGTTCCACAAACTTGGAGTCTCTAACAGGAATCAGAGCGACAATGGGCTAATCTTGCACAGAGGCCCCAGGAATGGGCTTAACTGCGTGGAGAGCTGATTCCCACTCTCCAAGGGCATGACGCCCAAACATTCACTAATTTATTCAGAACATGTGCCTGGTGCTGAGCCATATGGTGGTTACAATATGCTTGGTTGGCATGTATGCAAGGGACAAGTGAGAGAGCATTTGGACAGGATTACTCACGTGAGATACTGGTTGACATTTTCTGCTGGCTGCCTGAAGAGACCTTCAAACTCATCCCGAGCCCACTGCAGACAAAGCAAAGAGATTACATGGGGCTGAGAGACAAAAGTGAGAGTTTCAGGTCAATATTCCTGATGAACAGGGATGCAGAAGTTCTCAATAAAATACCAGCAAATCAAATCCAATGGTACATTAAAGAATCACTCAATATGATCAAGTGGGATTCATCCCTGCACTGCAAAGGTGGTTCAATATTTAGAAGTTGATCGTGATACACCACATTAATAAAAAAAAAAAAAAGGATAAGAACCATATGATCTCTCAATAGATGCAGTGAAAGCATTTCACAAAATACGACATCCATTCATGATGGAAACCCTCAAGAAAGTAGGGGTAGAGGGAATGTACCTCAACATCATAAAGGCCATATATGAAAACTCTCAGCTAATATCACCCTCAATGGGGAAAAACTGAGAGCTTTTCTTCAAAGGACAGGAACATGACAGGATGTCCACTCGCACCACTGTTGTTCAACACATAGTGGACATCCTAACCTCAGCAAAATAAAAGGCATCCAAATCAGCAAGGAAGAAGTCAAAGTTTCACTCTTTGCAGATGACATGATAGTCTATATAGAAAACCTGAAAGACCCCACCAAAAATATTGCTAGAATTAATACACAAACTCAGTAAAATCACAGGATAAAAAAATATCAATGTACAGAAATCTGTTGAATTTCTATGCACCAAGAAGGAGCAGAAAGAGAAATCAAGGATTCAATTTCACTTGCAATTGCACCAAAAACCATAAGATACCTAGGAATAAACCTAACTAAAGTATAAATGACCTGTAGTCTGAAAACTATGAAACACCAATGAAATAAATTGAAGAGGACACACACACAAAACAAAATGGAAAGATATTCCATGCTAATGGACTGGAAGAAAAAAACATTGTTAAATGTCTATACTACCCAAAGCATTCTATACATTTAATGCAATCCCTACGAAAGTATACCACCAGCATTTTTCACAGAGCTGGAACAAACAATCCTAACATCTGTATGGAACCACAAAAGACCCCAAATGGCCAAAGGAAACTTGAAAAAGAAAAGCAAACCTGGAGGCATCACAATTCCAGAAATCAAGTTATATTACAAAGCTATAATGAATACTGGCACAGAAACAGACACATAGATCAATAGAAAACCCAGAAATGGACCCTATATGACAACTCTATGGTTAACAAATCCTCAACAAAGCAGGAAAAACATGCAATGGAAAAAAGACAGTCTCTTCAACAAATGGTGTTGGGAAAACTGGACAGCAACACACAGAAGATTGGAACTGGAACCCTCTCTTACACCATACACAAAAATAAATTCAAAATGGATGAATGACCTAAATGTGAGACAGGAACCCATGAAAATCCTGGAGAACACAAGTAGTAACTTACTCAACCTCAGTCATAGCAATTTCTTAGTGGACACGTTGCCAGAGGCAAGGGAAACAATAGCAAAAATGAATTATTGGGGCACCTGGATGGCTCAGTCATTAAGCATCTGCCTTTGGCTCAGGTCATGACCTCAGGGTCCTGAGATTGAGCCCCACATCAGGCTCCTGCTCAGCAGAGGGCCTGCTTCTCTCTCTCCTTCTGCTGCTCCCTCTGCTTGTGCTCTCTCCTATGTCTGTCTCTCTCTCTAATAAATAAGTAAAATCTTAAAAAAATGAATTATTGGGACTTCATATAGATAAGAAGCTTCTGTACAGAAAAGGAAACAATCAATAAAACTAAAAGCCAACCTATGGAGTGGGAGAAGTTATTTGCAAATGGCATATGTGATAAAGGGTTAGTATGGAAAATATATAAAGAACTTATAGTACTCCACACCCCAAAAAAAAAAAATCTAGTTTAAAAAATGGTCAGAAGACATGAACCGACATTTCTCCAAAGACGACATCCAGATAGACATCAGACACATGAAAAGATGTTCAACATTACTCATCCCATCAGGAAAATACAGATCAAAACTCCAGTGAGCCATCACCTCACACCTGTCAGAATGGCTAAAATTAACAATACAAGAAACAACAGGGGTTGGTGAAGATGTGGAGGAAGGGGAACCCTCCTGCACTATTGGTGGGAAGGAGAACTGGTGCAGCCACCATGGGAAACAGTATGGATGGTCCTCAAAAAGTTAGAAATAGAAATACCCCTAGGATCCAGCAATTGCATTATTATGTATTGACCCAAATTATACAAAAATACCAAATTGAAGATATATATGCACCCCAATCTTTATAGCTGCATTGTCAACAATAGCCGAGTTATGGATAGAGGCCAAATATCCACTGACTGATGAATGGATACAAAAGATACACATATATATCTTTTGGTCATATGTACAGATATACACATAATATGATATATATGATGGAATATTACTCAGCCATAAAAGAATGAAATCTTGCCATTTGCAATGATGTGGATGGAGTTGGAGAGTATCATGTTAAGCGAAACAAGTCAGTCAGAGAAAGACAAATACCATATGATTTCACTCATATGTGGAATTTAAGAAATAGGAACATGCAAAAGGAAACAAAGGAGAGAGATGACGAATCAATAAGGGATTCTTAACTCTAGAGAACAAACTGATGGTTACCAGAGGGGAGTGGGTGGGGGATGTGTGAGGTGGGTGATGGGCATTAAGGAGGGCACTTGTGATGAGCACTGGGTATTGTATGTAAGTGATGAATCACTAAATTCAACACCTGAAACTATTAGTGTATGTAAATCATACCTAAATAAAAAAGAAATCAGTTGCATTTCTACACAGTAACCATAACCAAAAAGAAAATTAAGAAAATAATTCAAAGTATAACAGAATCAGGAAGAGTAAGTATTTAGGAATTAAGTTAACCAAGGAAGTGAAAGATCTGTATAATGAAAACAATGAAATGTTAAAGACATTAAAGACACAAATAAATGGACAGGCATTCCATGTTAATGGGTTAGTAGGTTAATGTTAAGATGTCCCTGACACCCAAAGCTATCTACAGACTCAGTGCAATCACTGCCAAATTCCCAATGACCTTTTTTTCCCAGAAATAGAAATTCATCCTAAATTCATGTGCAATCTCATGGGACCCTGAATCTCCAACATAAACTTGAAAAAGAACAGACCTGGAGGGATAACATTTCCTGATTTTAAATCTTACTACAAAGCTACAGTAATCAAAACTGGTATTGCATGAAGAAAGGTATAGAGACCAATGGGACAAAATAATACCCAGTATAAGTCCCTACACATATGGTCAAATGAATTTCGACAGGGTGCCAGACCAATCACGTGGGGGAAATGATAGTGTTTTTGACAAATGTGCTGGGAAAACTGGACGTCTACATGCAAAAGAATAAAGTCAGGGCCTAACAAAACACCATACACTCAGAATACACACAAGAGCTAAAATTACAAAACTCTTAAATGAAAATATAGGGCAAAAGCTTCATGACATTGAGTTTAGCAATAATTTCTTGGATATGACACCAAAAGCACAGACAACAAAAGACAAACTGGACTCACAAAGTTAAAAAAATTCGCAAAACATGTGTTGGTGAGGATGTGGATAATGGAACCTTTGTTCACTGTTGTCTGTAATGTCAAACTGTCTAGCTCCTAATGGAAAGCAGAATGTTGGTCCCTAAAAATAACTAAAACTATCATTATGTTATAAACCAGTAATTCTACTTCTGGGTATGCCCCTAACAGAATTGAAAAGGTCTTGAAGAGTTATTTTACATCCATGTTCATAGTGGCATTATTCATGATAGCTAAAGTGGAAGAAACCCGAGTTCCCCCAACAGATGAAAGAAAGGGCAAGCAAAACATGGTATTATACGTACTATAGAATGCCATTCAGCCTTAAAAAATTCCCATCCCTAAAAAGGAAGGGAATTCTACAACATGGCGAACCTTCAGGATATTAAGCCTAAGTGAAATAAGGTAGTCACAAAAAAGGCAAATACTATATAATTCCTCTTTTATGGGGTACTGAGAATAGTCAAAATTACAGACACAGAGAATAATGTACCAGGGAATATGGCAGGGAGGAATGAGCAGTTATTGTTTCACAGTTTCAGTTTTGCAAGATGAAAAGAATTCTTGAGATGGATGATGGTGATGTTAGCACAACATTATGATTGTATTTAATACCATTATGATTGTACATTTAACAAAGTGTACTTTTGAAAATGGTTAGGATGGTAATTTGATATAAAGATAAGAATGTGAACACCAATTTTTTAAATAGCAGTAAAAAACATATTTTAGAAACACAGAACACAAGATACTTCAATTTCTCATTTATTCAATGGTTTTATTGCCTCTTCAGAACATTTTTGTAAAACTGTTAAAAAGGCAGAACTTACTTGTAAAAGTTAGAATACATGTTGAAAAACAAATTAAAAAAAAACTTCAGTTTCTGCATATTTTTAAGCACCAATTCCAGATAATTTTCAGTCAATGGACAGAAAAATAGTTCAAAGTCTCCTTTATTAAGACAACAAAATACAAAAACAATCCAGTTGAAGCATGAAAACTAATTTTGTAGCTTTTATGATATGAGATAAAGTTCATACAATTAAATGCTATGTGTGGGTGTGGTTTTAAATTAAATCCAACAGCATACATGCGGCCAATAGCATATATTCTGCAAATAAAAAGTTCCAATCTCAAGTGCCTTTACCAAATTTGTTCTCCCAAATACCTTCTCAAAGTTGAGGACCTCACTTATGGCAGTTAACAGCTCTGTCATCAGGTATTTGTATGAAAAAAAAGTCACACACAAGCCTCTCTTACCTAATTAACTCTCTCTCTTTAAAAAAATAAAAAAGAAAGAAAAGAAAATATTCCAGGTGAAAACAAACTTATTACAGAGCTGCTTCCATATATTTAAAAGTAAAACACATCAGCAATTTCATAAAAACTAATTTAAAAAGAAAGACATCCTTCTAAGTCTTCCAACTGGAGTCTTAGATAAAGCAGAGATATTTTCATAAGTAATAATGTCCCTTTAGAAAAAAAAAAGAAATAGTTGTATTTTGACAAATATGCATAACATTGACCCAACAACACATTGTACACAGTGGGACTAGACTGCTCATCAGTGGTCCTTCTCCAACACCATGTCACTAGGATTTAACCACTCTATGGAGGAGCCGAGCAGGGTCTGAAGTTCGTTTGTGATTTCAACCAAAACTAGTAGTTCCTTGCTTTCAGGATTGAAAGCTTCCAGGTCTTTGGAGGAAGAGTATAAGAAACTTGCTGAAACCTGCCTGTAAAACTCTGCCTCTGTAATTGTGATGATTTCTAAGTTTGGAAAATTGCAGCGAAATATGCAGGATGACATTTTCAATTTCTTAAGCACATCTGAAAGCAAAAACCAGTTTCGTGCCCTACAAAATACAAAGGAAAGTGGTTCAAATTTCTGGCAAAATGAATGTTGCTTCCAATAATTAATTAGCATCCAAATGTAACAAGAGCCCGTTCTTCCACTTCTACCCCTGCCCCTACCATTCCTTCCCATTACCACTCATAGACCAATATTGTTCTTCCTTTAGTGGGAGTAATTCTGGACTCATCTGGTTTTAAGAGAACATCTAGAGAAGGCCAACTAATTTTTACAAAGGATGAGGAACATCAGAACAAGACTCATCACAATGCCACTTCACTGTTCTCACCGTTGATAAAAACAGGCAAAGTCCTACTCACTCAGCTCTGACCATGTTCGAGTTAGTAACTATCAATGTGTCCCACTGTAGTTACCAAGGGAAGTCTATCCCAACCAAAGAGGATTGATTATAAACACCTTTAGATCTCTTCTCCCCACACCACTGACAATAGGGCATTGTAAATATAGAAGGCTATCAATTGTTTCTTTCCCTTCACATATCTCCACCCCATCACTCATGTCTTTTGGGATTGATGTTTTTGAGAAGCAAACTGTCACATTACTTACATATACTCTGTAACATACATACATCTCTCTCTCTCTATATATATATATACACACACATGCACACATTTATATATATACATATATATGTCTGCATACGTATGATATACGTATATACATGATATATATGCATATACCTGTAAACATACATAGACATGCATTCCTATATCCATATGCACACGTGTACCTATATCCATATACACACATGAATACACATATATGCATGCATATATGCACATATACACATGCATCCATCTATACATATATACACTTGCATACATATGAATACATATATATACACATGCATACATATGTATACATATATGCATATATACACATGCATACATATATACACTTGCACACACATGTATACATACACATGCATACATATATACATATGTACTCGCATACATATGTATATGCACATATACACATGCGCACATATGTATACATATATGCATACATAATATATGCATATATATGCATACATATATAGACATGCATACATATGTATAAATATATATATACATACACGATTTCCATCATTAATAAAACTTATGGTTTATAATGGCATACACACTTATAATTTGAGAAATTGAGAATGTTAATATTTACTAATCTCCTTTATTAACACTCAGCAGAGCACAGGTCTGTTGATATATATATACCAAGAGACTGGTCACCAGAGCCTGCTGGCTCCACCATGTGGGCAACACTGGATTTAAGCAAAACTTATATACAAAGATTCCAGGAACCATGAATAATGATTTTCCTATCATACATGAAAGGGGAGACTAACAACATAGTACAGTACACTTCATGTGCCTGAGAGGGCACCTACAAGGGCATATTGGGAAGCTTCTAGAATGGAGTACTGAAGTATCCAAGGGATCAACTCTTCTGTGGATTCCAGTGAATGACAACTTTAATATTTTGTGCTCTGACAGTTTATATTGTTCTATTTATCTGATCCCCATGATGTATAACTAATCTTTTCTGGAAAAGATCAAGTGTGGTTCATGGACACTTAGAAGGTACTCATCCACACTGCTTAAAAGGGTTTTCAGGTCCAGCTACCCCAGGACTCAATGCTTTTTAATCATATGATATAAATGCTTACCCCTGATAAACAGACACTTGGATGTTATAACATGGTAAGAGAGGGCTGTCTGAAAATTCAAATTCAAACACATCACTGTTAGCCTTATCTTCATCATACTGGTCCTCAGGTCCTGGAGGGTTTGCCAAAACATTATGCCCAGCTTTATTATCTGGTTCTAATGGAAAGAAAAAAAAAAGAGTCAGTAGGCTCCCTCAAGATTTTAGGTCTCATTAATTAAATGATTCTAAAGAAAAAGACAACATTTCCTAATGATCTCTGCTTACAGCACCCACTACCCACTTACACTTCATCCACACCGGGGAGAAATGTTATGTTATACATTCATTTCCCAGTAAACTGAGAAAACCATACTGCTTACCACATACAGAACTTCCATAGAACTCCCAAGGAGCAATAAACTCATCACCATTGTGACCCTGAAGGTCATTTAAATAATCTGGAGAGGAAACAAAAATAGTGAGATTTTTAAAAACTTAAACAATTTCAGCAAAGTTGCAGGACACATAGTCAAAATACAGAAATTGATTGCTTTTCCATACACTAACAATCCTAAAAGAAAATAAAATGATAGCACAACGCACCAAAAAGCATAAGTACTCAGGAATAAACTTTAACCAAGGGGGCAAAACACTTGTATACGAACAACTATAAAGCTATGCTAAAATAAATCTCAGAAAATGCAGATAAATGGAAAGATATCTATATGCCATGTGCATGGATTAGAAAAATTAATATTTAAAATTTGCATAACCAAAGCAACCTACACATTGAATGCAATCTCTAGTAAAACCCCAATGACATTGTTTTGTTTGCAAAAATAGAAGAACCTGAGACAGAGTGGAAAGATGGCAGAGGAGTAGGAGACCCTATTCCAACTGGTCCCCGGAATTGAGCTGGATATCTATCTGGTCCCCGGAATTGAGCTGGATATCTATCAGACCACTCTGAACACCCACAAAATCAGCCTGAGATGTACGAAGATAGATCTGAATCTTTACAAACAGAATGTCGCGGGCATTTGGTTTTGAGGTACAAAGTGGGGAGCTGTGATTCCGTGGGCAAATATCGGAGGTTCAACGGAAAAGGGAGGAGCCAGGCGACCAGATCCTACACCGTGGGTGGGCAATACCCTCCCATGCTGGAGACAGGGTGCAGACTCCCAGACCAGTATCGGCGGGGAAAGGACTAAAGGGCAGCTCCCCGGACTGAAACCTGGAGCAGCGGGACCACACCTGTGAAGTGGGGACCGCTGGTGGTTTTAGAACACAAAACAAAGACCTGCCTGACCTGGAGGCAGGACTGGGAGCGCCGCTGAGGGGCCCACAACCCAGGACACTGAAGGTTATACAAGCACAGACAGAAACGGAGATAGTATGGCCTGGAGAGCCCACTGAAGAACAGACTGCGATCTCTCTGCTCTGAGGCAGAGGGCTGGAAAAGATCTCTTCTACTCTGACTCTCGGAAGAGACGTGCAAAGCCACCAGGGAAAGCCACCAGAGAACAAAAGCCCCCCAAAACCGGTTTTCACTGAGCCCATCCCCACCACAGGGGGCAGGGCAACTCTACCCAGAGTTGCCTGAGTAACAGCTCGACAGGGCCATCCACCAGAAGACAGGCTGGGAGAACAAGAGGTCAGCGGACAATAGGTCAGCAACCCTAAATGGTGCATCTTGCTCAGGTTGTGGTCACTAAGTTGGACTCTATACATTCCCTCAACCAGCCCTCAACAGAGTGACTAGGAGGAGGAGCCTCCAAAATAGGAAAGACTCAGAGACAATGACTTATGCCACAGATTTACAAATGGATTCAGATATAAACAAGATGTTGGTGATGGAATTCAGGCTAGCAACTGTGAAGACAATAGCTAGAATGGAGAAATCAATTAATGGAAACATAGAGTCTCTAAGGGCAAAAATGAAAGCTGAATTGGCAGAATTTAAAAATGCTATCAGTGAGATCCAATCCAATCTAGATAATCTAACAGCTAGGGCAAGTGAGGCAGAAGAATGAATTAGTGACCTAGAAGACCAATTAATAGATAAAAAGGAAGAAGAGGAGGCCAGGAAAAAACAACTAAGAATGCATGAAAATAGAATCAGAGAAATACGTGACACCATGAAGCATTCCAATGTCAGAATAATTTGAATCCTGGAGGGAGTGGAGAGAGAGAGAGGACTAGAAGATATATTTGAGCAAATCGTAGCTGAGAACTTCCCTAATCTGGGGAATGAAACAAACATTCGTGTCCTAGAGGCAGAGAGGACCCCTCCCAAGATCAAGGAAAACAGGCCAAAATCCCAGCATGTAATAGTAAAACTCGAAAATCTTAGAACCAAGGAAACCATCTTAAGGGCAGTTAAGGGATCGAGATTCCTTACGCACAGAGGGAGGAACATCAGAATAACGTCAGACCTATCCACAGAGACCTGGCAAGCCAGAAAGGCCTGGCAAGACATATTCAGGGTACTAAATGAGAAGAACATGCAGCCAAGAATACTTTATCCGGCAAGGCTGTCATGTAGAATGGATGGAGAGATGCAGAGCTTCCAAGACGGGCAGAAATTGAAAGAATATGTGACCACTAAGTGGGCCCCACAAGAAATATTAAGGGGGGTTCTATAAAAGCAGAAAAACCCCAAGAGTGATATACAAGAGAAATTTAAAGAGACAATCTATAAATACAAAGACTTCACAGGCAACATGATGACAAGTAATTCATATCTTTCAATAATCACTCTCAACGTGAATGGCCTAAATGCTCCCATAAAACGGCACAGGGTTGCAGATTGGATAAAAAGATGGGACCCATCCATATGCTGTCTACAAGAGACTCATTTTGAACCTAAAGACACATCCTGACTGAAAGTGAAGGGATGGAGATCCATCTTCCATGCCAGCAGACCTCAAAAGAAAGCTGGGGTAGCAATTCTCATATCAGACAAATGAGATTTTAAACTAAAGGCTGTAGTTAGACACAGAGAAGGAAACTATATCATTCTTAAAGGGTCTATCCACCAAGAAGAGCTAACAATTGTAAATAAGCCCCCAATACGGGAGCAGCCATCTACATAAGCCAACCATTAACCAAAATAAAGAGTCATATTGATAAACAATGCATTAATTGTAGGAGACCTCAATACTCCACTCTCAGCAATGGACAGATCATCTAGGCAGAAAATCAACAAAGAAACAGGAGCTTTGAATGACACACTGTACCAAATGGACGTCATTGATATATACAGAACATTCCACCCTAAAACAACAGAATACTCATTCTTCTCGAGTGCACCTGGAACTCTCTCCAGAATAGACCACATACTGGGTCACACATCAGGTCTCAACTGATACCAAAAGACTGAGATTATTCCCTGCATATTCTCAGACCACAGTGCTTTAAAACTGGAACTCAATCACAAGAAAAAATCTGGCAGAAATTCAAACACTTGGAAGCTAAAGTCCACTCTGCTCAAGAATGTTTGGGTCAACCAGGAAATCAAAGAAGAACTGAAACAATAGATGGAAACCAATGAGAACGAAAACCCATCAGTCCAAAACCTATGGGATACGGTAAAGGTGGTCCTAAGGGGGAAATACTTAGCCATCCAAGTCTCACTCAAAAAAAATAGAGAAATCCCGAATTCACCAACTAACTCTACCCCTCAAAGAACTAGAGAAAAAGCAACAAACAATGCCTAAGCCACACATTAGAAGAGAAATAATTAAGATTAGAAACCAGAAACACAGTAGATCAGATCAACAAAACTAGAAGCTGGTTCTTTGAAAGAATTAATAAGATTGATAAACCACTGCCCAGACTTATCCAAAAGAAAAGAGAAAGGACCCAAATTAATAAAATTATGAATGAAATGGGAGAGATCACGACTAACACCAAGGAAATAGAAACAGTTATTAGAAATGATTTTCAACAACTATATGCCAATAAATTAAGCAGCCTGCAAGAAATGGATGCCTTCCTGGAAACCTATAAACTGCCAAGACTGAAACAGGAAGAAACTGACAACCTGAATAGGCCAATAACCAGTAACGAGATTGAAGCAAGGATCAAAAACCTCCCCAAAACCAAGAGTCCAGGGCCTGATGGATTCCCTGGGGAATTCTACCAAACACTGAAAGAAGAAATAATACCTATTCTCCTGAATGGTGTTTCAAAACAGAACCAGAAGGAACGATCCAGACTCATTCTATGAGGCCAGCATTACCTTGATCCCCAAAGCAGGCAAAGACCCCATCAAAAAGGAGAATTTCAGACTGATATCCCTGATGAATATGGATTCCAAAATCCTCAACAAAATCCAGGCTAATAGAATCCAAAAATACATTAAAAGGATCACTCACCATGACCAAGTGGATTTATCCCTGGAATGCAAGGGTGGTTCAACATTTGCAAATCAATTGATGTGCTAGAACACATTAATAAGAGGAGAGAAAAGAACCATACGGTCCTCTCAATTGGTGCAGAAAAAGCACTTGACAAAATACAGCATCCTTTCCTGATTAAAACTCTTCAGAGTACAGGGATAGAGGGATCATTCCTCAAGTTCATAAAATCCATCTATGAAAAACCCACATCGAATATCATCCTCAATGTGGAAAATCTGAGAGCCTTTCCCTTAAGATCAGGAATACGACAAGGATGCCCACTCTCACCACTATTGTTCAACATAGTACTAGAAGTCCTAGCAACAGCAATCAGACAACAAAAAGAAATAAAAGGTATTCAGATAGGCCAAGAAGAAGTCAAACTCTCTCTTTTCGCAGATGACATGATACTTTATGTAGAAAACCCAAAAGACTCCAGCCCCCAAACTACTAGAACTCATAGAGCAATTCAGTAATGTGGCAGGATACAAAATCAAAGCACAGAAATTGTTTCCTTTCTTATACACTACAATGCAACTGTAGAAAGGGAAATTAGAGAAATTATTCCATTTACAATAGCACCAAAAACCAAAAAATACCTCGGAATAAACCTAACCAAAGAGGTAAAGGATCTACACTCTAGGAACTACAGAACACTCATGAAAGAAACTGAAGAAGACACAAAAAGATGGAAAAACATTCCATGTTCATGGATTGGAAGAATAAACATTGTTAAAATGTCTGTGCTACCCAGAGCAATCTGTACCTTCAATGCCATTGCAATCAAAATTCCAATGACATTTTTCAGAGTGCTGGAACAAACAATCCTAAAATTTGTATGGAATCAGAAAAGACCCCAAATTGCCAAGGAAATGTTGAAAAAGAAAAACAAAGCTGGGGACATCACACTGCCCGATTTCAAGCTATATTACAAAGCAGGATCACGAAGACAGCATGGTACAGGCACAAAAATAGTATAGACCAATGGACCCTCAACTCTATGGTCAAATAATCTTCAACAAAGCAGGGAAAAATATACAATGGAAAAAAGACAG